AACAACAACAACAACAACAACAACAACAACAACAACAACAACAACAAACACCAACACCAACACCAACACCAACACCAACACCAACACCAACACCAACACCAACACCAACAACAACAACAACAACAACAACAACAACAACAGCAACAAGAACAAGACCTCTGCTGAAAAGAACCGGCAACAAAAACCAGACGCTTCCGCCCGCACGGACTTCACGTCGAGGCTACTCGAACTTCAGCACGGCCTTCGTGACGTTGTTCCGTGCCGTGCTGGGCGACCTCGACTTCGATGCAATGGCCGAGAACGCCGGGCGCAGCATCGTCGCCCGGTGGAGCGGGGAGCGGAGGTGGCGGAGGTGGTGGAGGTGGTGGGAGGGATGAGCATCTTTTTGGGGGAGAGGGGCTCACCAAACCCGGCCCAGACTACCTTTTTCAATCTTGGCGGGTGTTGTGAATCCACTTCAAGTCTACTGCACTGAGGATTGAGCCAAGGAAGCAAGTGGTCACAAGATTAGACCAAGATCCATGACTCACCGATGGGGATGGCAGGGGTTGCTCCTTTTTTTCTCGCACCGCCCCGCGGCCGTTGGCGCCTTCGGTGTGCTCGTTGATCGGACACGGTGGGACCGGTGGTTCTCTGCTTCAGGCTGGAGTCTTTCATTTCTCCGTGATGTGCACGATGCTTTTGATCCTGCTCAACATGCCTCTAGGACGTCTTTGTTTTTGAGGGGTGAGGGCGGGGCCCTGAGGGCGGCCCGGCCGGGCTTTGGCCCGGGGCGTCTTTTTTTGGTTCTTCTCCCTCTCGTTGTTTAGTTGATGTTGGTGATTGTGTGATTGTTTGTTTACCATGTGCTACCTACCAATCAACACCCAGTTGCGTTGGAACCAGACACCATCTGAGGGTGAATACATCTCATGCTGTGAAACATGCTGTGACCGTCACCGGCGTGTCATCCGTCATTTGTTGACCGAAATGGCTCCAAACCCCGGAAGACCCTGGTTGACCACGGATCCAATGAACAGATTCCTCGATAGGGAGTCCACCCCCCTACACCCGGGCTCCGACCCAAATCCGGGTGTCAAAGGTGCCAAGGCTCCGACCGAAATCACCAAATGAGGCTGATTGCGGTGATCCTGGATGTCTATGGAGAGACCAAGAAATCCGTCCTACGGCCGAGCAACAGTCAGTCGTACCAAGTGCCGGGCAAGGGAAAACAAGCTCAGGGTGATCAACCTGAAGAGCTTGCAGCAACGGCATTTGACCTTCTAAAGGTTGGTGGATCAGCATCAGCCGGCGCATGGTACAATGGTAGAATAACATCCCCAGGTAGACGGGTAAACGAAATCATGGTTCCTTCTTTGCAGTTTGACCAGGGTAGAACTATAGAAAGGGCCAAGAAACTCCTCTCAATGCCCAATGTAGCAACCCGCTTAGGAGAGGTTTGGACACATTAAGGTGCAAATATATTTAGAAAGTTTGCACTGCAAAACAATGAAGTATTTAGATACCTGGAATTGCCTAGACAAATATAGAGGCAATCAAAAAACGGCATATGGTATATATATATATGTTATATAATGTCCGATAAATATATGTGTACTTTCTCAGCCAGGTGGTTGCTAGGCGAATTTGGGAGGTGAGCATGGCGAGTTTGCGAGCGCCTGTTTTCTTTTTCTTTTTTCCGCACAAGGAGCGGTGCAAAGTTCGTTCCACACGCTACAAATCAGGGGGTCTACAAAACTCGAGTCTTGGAAGACCAACTCGAGACTTGGATCTCAAGACCCACAGACCATCTGGAACGATCGGGCCCCGAACACATGATCGGGCTTCGTATAGCCCACGCGCTCTGAGGCTTCGTATAGCGAGACAATCTGGGAGGATGTGATCGCTTCTTGGGCTACAAAAGAGTCTGGGGAATCCCCAGGTCTTCTGGGACCCAAGCGAGTTAGGCCATGTGACAGGCCATGTGACAGGCCGTCCGACAAGTGCAGTGACCTTTTTCCGACTGGGATTCTTGGTTCTTTCGCAGGGTCCAGCAGTTTTCGAGGCGTTTTGGCGTGATTTTCTCAGGGGAGGAATCACCCACATGGCGCCGGGACCAGTTGCAGTTGCGCCGTGCTGAAACTGACTGGGGTTGGCAGACATGACTCTGCTATTTGGATGTAGGGAAAAAAACGGATGAACCATGTTGAAACATAGGTCTAACTTGGTCAATCCTAGCAGAATTCGTTTGCAAACTGGACAGAATTCATTTTTCCCTCTTCTTTCTGCGCCCTTCTGGACCCGGAGATGGGGAGATTGATCTCAGACCTTGGAGACCGAGTGTCTGAGACTCCAGTTATATAAAACACATCAGTGCCTGGCCAGTGAACTGCATGGAAACTCTCAAGTGAAAAGACGGAATAGCTTCAATTCTTGGTTTACAAATCCGTGCTTGTCTTCCTTTTTGATGGTCCATGGCTATCATCCTTCTCAAGGGTCACGTGGAAGATGTGGACGACTACATGATCACTAAATGATCACCAATTGCATTTTGTTGACGAGTTGTGTGTGTTTGACCTGCACTGACTTTCACGCGATCAAGAAAATTGAAAACCAAGCACTCAGATGTGCTGGTGGGTTCGCAAAGGCCTCCCTCGTGACACCCCCCTGCAGCCACTGTATGAATAGATCCACATGGCTGCTGGGAGAAGAGACAGATTTATGGAGTGCAATTGTTCAAAGGGAGACACCAAACGCACGGGGTGCCCATGGTCCGGATTTAGGGACTGAACACCACCCCGTCTTGTGACTGCTGGATCATGTGTCATTCTTTCTGGCTTCCGTGGGACAGACGATTCATCCACGTGCTGGACAGCGTTTCATGATGGACAGTCCATGTGCTGCATGATGGAAGGGACCCTGAGATGTTTGGCTCATTTTGGCGAGGATTGGGTGTGAACACGAGCAGGTTCCACGGATGCCCATGGATGCCCATAGCTCATCGCTCTTTATTTCTTTGTCATGCGTGACTTTTGGATAGTGCATGGCAACCGGGTTTTAGGGTTCACCTTCAGCCACCTTCAGCCCATTGTTTGAGCTCGGTTTTCTTGGACTCTGTTCCTGCAGGACTACTTCCATCGCTGGTGGCTTTGCCACCGAGGAGACTCGGTACCCGAAACCTCGGCGGCCGACGCACCGTCGGCGGGCGCTTCACCACGGGGACCTCGTCCGCAGCATCCGCTGCGGCGTCCGCCGGAGCCCGACGGAGTGGGAGTACCTCGGTTATTGGGAAGTCCGAAGGGCGCGAAGAACCGTGGCCTCGGTTTGGGGGAAGATGACGAACGGATGTACGCAGATGGCGCTTTTTTTGGAATCCTTTCTTTTTGGTGCGAGGACCCGGGTAGAAAGCACAGTCTGTCCCTTGTGCAGACCCCTTAACAAGCAATCAGGTTTTTTTTGTAGCCTTTGGACCAAGAATTTGCTGGGACCCGGTTCAAACCTGCCAGGTCGAGCGGAAGCTTTTCCATCCCCAACCTGCTAGGCCCAACACCAGCTTCTCGCGTCTTCTACAAACGGTTTGTGTCACTGCCATGTAAACTAGGGGTGTGTGGAAGATGGATTTCCTTCACCTAAGGGGTGATAATAAGTATAGTCTTTATGATCCTATTAGTTTTTATTGGGTGTTTGTCACAGGTCTTTCAGTACATCTTCGTCACAGGTTTTGCTCGCTTCGCCTTCTTCCCAGTGCGACCGGTAGGACTCCGCATGAGCATCTCCCGAGCCAAAGCCATCTACGCGGCCAGTTTAGAAGAGAAGCCCACGCAGGCGAGGGCTCAAACTTCCGGAAGCGTACAGGGAGGATTGGGTGGAGGCCATCGCTCGTAGAACGGAAGCTATCGCTAGACACGGTGGAGGCATCTTTATTTTTATTTTTTCTCTCTCTCTCTCTCTCTCTTGGTGGAAAGGGCGGGCGTTTCTTGAGCAGGATAATGAGCGTTGCCCTTTTGGTAAATAGAGCAAGAATCCAGGAGTTCAGAATGTTCTATATGTTTGCATAAATGGTGGACACTTTTCTGGAGTTCCCATGGCTAGAAGGAGTTCAGCATCCTGCACCACTTCTTCCGCAGTGATCTGGTTTTTTCACGCCTACTCCAGATCGCCCTCGAAACACGATCGCAAGGAGTGTGGAACGCCGTCGGGCGGCGAGAGCACACCGGAGTTGAAGAGATTTGAGTCGCCCCTTGGATCGCGCTCGGCGTGCGGAGAACGAACGGCCGACTGGGAGACCCAAGGTTTAGCTTCTGGACGAAGGCGGGGAACGAACGGGGAAGCCAGGGTCCTTCAGGTGGTGGGGGCCCCAAGAGGTCGCCGCACCCCAAAGTCCCGGTCTTCGGCCACCAGGACCCGTGGGGGTGCTATGTTGGATGCTTTCCTCTTTTAAAGTTCACGTCTACTTTTTGTGTGGAACACAGTGGAACAGGGTCTCCCCGTCTGTGAATCACTGGCGCTTGGCAACAGGGGGACTCCGAGGTCGATCTTCACGGAGAACGAGAGGAAGGACCACTTGGTGACCATCAAAGACTTACTGTAATGGACAGAGCACACTGGACCGGGGAATGTGGGTGTTCTTTTTTTGGGGGGGTAATTTTTCCCGTGTTTGGAAAGGGAGCAAGGGAGCATTGACCCATTTGGGCGGGGAACCTTGATTTGGACAGATCCAGTTTGAACTGAGTCCACCATCGGGACATTGTGGTTTGTGAAGTTGGAAAATGAGCGCAGCTTGGTGATTCTCCTTGTAACCCCCAATGAACTTTTGAACCTTTCAGTTGCTGCTTGCATGGAGGCATTCACCCTCCCGAACATTACATTTGCTTGGCCTTGTGTCTCCAGAATCCATCACTTCTCTCTTGACCAGGCAGGGACGAACCACTCACGGGTTCTAGAAATTATGGGGGGGATGATGTGGTTTGTGGGTGTTAAGAATGGAGAGACCCCCAACCAACGAGCTTGGAACATTCTTCAATTAATTCTTCAGTCAATTCCAAGGGCCTCACTTCACCAATGTATTTCTGGATCCAAGTACAAAAATGCAATCACTTGAAACCAACATTTTCCACGCAACAAAAATCACTCAGCTCGGTCTTCCCAAGTGGTGAACCTTTGGGGGACCGACCGCCCGTCGGGGATGGAAACCTGCTTGACGAGGGTGGACTGTGGTAATGCGGAGGTTCTGGCGTCACTGGGTCCAGTGAAGCCACCCAGGCCACCCATGTCTGTTGGGGTTGACCGGTTCATCACCGGTTGGCTCTGTGACGGTCGAAGGTCAGCTACTTTTGGAGCCAAGTTGAAGCAACGATAGTTCTCCGGAATTTGCTCATGATTCCAAATTTCGGATCATTCTTCATCATTCTTCCAAAAGAGATCATATATTCATTTTGTCCGTATCAGTTCTAGACCCTAACGCACCATGTCACCCCTTCAGCCCCTTTCGCACCAGGTGCCTGAGATGTCGTTGGAACAAGCGACGGAGTCGGTGGAAGAGGCCGTGTTCTGGTTTGCGACTTGGATGACTTGGAGGACGAAGGTAGTTACTGTAAACTCTTGAGGACCATAAACCCCCGCATATGAAGAGGATTTTCCTATTCAAGTCTGGGGGGTTATGTTCCTCCTGAGTCTTCGTTGCGGTACCCTGAACAGTCAGCCAATGAGGTCCTGAACACAATAACAACCATGTACGTGAACACCTGCCACTCTTTGGTGCTGTGTGTGTGTTTTGCGTTTTTTTCGCACTCGTTTTAAACATGGGCTCGTTTGAGAAAGAACTTCCGGTGCTCGGGAGTCAAGGTGGAAAGCCCACAAGAGTCGATTGAGACTTTGTTCCCGCCTAATAACCCGCCACAATATACAGAGCTTTTGTAGTTACCAGTTGCGAATCTTTAACTGTATAGCAGTTTTCCAGTGCCTCATGTGCGCAGCTAAATACAAGGAGAAGCGCCACGAATGGGAGATCGACCACCAGCAGATGCAGCAAGGCCCGAACCAGAGGGGCAGCAACCAACAATGGTTGCAGGTTTTGGGTGCTCTCGGTTTGTTCCAAATCCGGACCCGAACCGAATAAACGGGTTTCAAGGCAATAAGACAAGCGTGTGAGATACACATCCCATCTACACATCCCATCACATCCCCATGTATAGCAACAGTGGGGTTTCCACTTCCTCTTTTGGGAGCCGCGAGTTTTTCCATATTTCTTCCTTTGGAATGGGAGGAGGAAACCATGTGGTGTTCTACCAGTAGCTCAGTAGACTGTCAGTGTCTGGGCGACCCTCAGCGGCCTCAAATCCTTTCGACCGGTTTGATGGGCAAGCTTTTTTCCTAATGAAGAACATTGACATATTGAAGAATAGATTTGGATGTATCGTCACACGAAAAATGTTGAAGAATAGCTTGGAGATCTCTCCAATACAGTAATACAATGTAATACATAATAATATGTAGTCACGAAGGACGGAGTCAAGTCGTTTTTTCTGGGATTTCCTTCTTCCGGAGCAGAATAGGTTGGAGCTGGAACCTTCACCTCCGAGAACGCGGGGATCTTTTTGAATGCCAGAAGATTCCCCGTTTGAACCAGTTTGCCATTTTTTAAACAGTTGACCCATGTGTTGGGTCATGGAGGGTTGCTGATCTCAGAATGTCGGTGGGTTTGGTCGGTTGAATCAAAGCCTAGAAGCTGTGCAAAATCCAAGAAGAACCATTACTATTCGGTTGGAGGCCATCGCTATTCGGTTGAATCAACACCGTTGGGTTGTGACGACTGAAGCCAGGCATCATGCAACTGCCGGGGCTCCCGGTGCGAGATGTGGAACATGCCGAGCGAATTCGCATAGATAGACACAGGGACAACAGATTCTGTACATATATATATATATATACCAGGACCCTCCAAGGGGGGTGCCCAATGGAAGCCTATAGGTAGTGTGGGGTAGTCCATTGGACACCCCTTGGAGGGTCCAGGTATATTACAGTATATCATATGTGTGGTGTTCTAGCAGTGTTCAGGGTGCCAGAGCTCGAACCATCGCCTAGATCGCGATGGAGGTATAGATGATGTTTTTGACGCACCGCTCTAGCGAAGATGATGGTTCGCGACTTCTGACACCATTCTTTGGGTTCGAAATCCAAATGAGCAACCATTCTCGTGACGTGAAAGCAGTGGCGTCGCTTGGCTTCGCTGGCTTTGCCAGAGCATGAGCAATGTCATCCAATCCTGATGGACTTGGACATCAGATGCTGACAGACAGTGATTCTGATGCTCTGACGGCCTTGGCCGGCCTTTCCTTAAGCAATGTTTGGACTTGACCATTCCTATTATTCGCCCACCCCCCAACCGGAAAGAACATGTGAACATCTTCTGATGCATCCATCCAAGCAGAACACAGTGAACAACTTGGCCTTGAAGGAGCATAAGAGGATGGTCTTGGCCTGGTTGATGTGGACAGGTGAGATCACACAGTTTGATGGGTGAGTTCTTGGCTTTCACACAGGGTTTCGAAGTACAGGTCTGGGTCACTTCTGCACGCATACAGCTGGGTCAGCTCTAATGAATCCGGGTTTGCTACTCAGAGAGACATATATAAACCGATGCAAACAACGGTAAATCAACATCATGACAGTTCAACTCATTTCATCTGACAGTTCAACTGGCGAAGTGGCTGGACCTCGTTCCGCTGGATTTTCGTGGCCCCCATGCCGCTCCCAGCCCCCCGCTGTTGTACCTTCAACTGAGTGAAGATGGGCGAAATGCCTTCTTCTTCTCACCGCTCCTTCTCCGCGGTTGGTCGGTCGGACCGCGCGTTCATCGCGGCGGTCCGTTCGTCCGCCGGTGAGCTCGCCACTCAGGCAACGAGCTGCTGGCATTGACCTCCATGCAGGCCGTAAGAGTCTGATCTTGGAGGCGCCGGAGCCTTCGCGGGTTTCGCGGCAGCCTTTGCCGCAGCCTTCGCCGCAGCTTTTCGTGGATTTCGCCGGACTTTCGCCGAAAATCACACCCAAGATCTGGGCCTGCCTGGCGTGGGAAGGTAGTTGAAGCCGTTTCTCGAGCAAGTGCTTTTCCTCTGCGATCCAGCCAGCTTGGAACAGATGTATAGCCTCAACTTCCGCATCTGACCTAATAGCGATGGCCTCCAACCTAAGAGTGATGGCCTCCAACCTATAGCCACAGCTGATCATAGCTGTGTCACTTCCTCTTTCTTGTGTGAACTTTTGACCCTGTCTCTGCCATCAACTTCCGCATCTGCCAGGGCCAGACACCCCTGGTGCCTGACGTGGCCGATGGCAACATGCCTGGTGAAGTGGCGGAGGGCGAACCGCAGATGGTCCGGGTCCATTTGACTCAGGCGGGTCCTGGGGGCGGCAGCGCCATCCTAAAGAGAAAACAACAAGGGATGGACTCTTCAATGGGACAAACCAGGGACGAATCACCGAGCTCTTTGTTGCCTTGGATTGCAATAGAGCCTTGTCACTATAAACACAGAATTCTTTCCCAAAAAACAAAGGAGAGGATTCACTGGATTGATCGATTGTGGTGATAGAATCAGCAGATATTCTGCTTCTAGCAGGGGATTCCCTTGTGTTCTGAATTCATTATTTGGCAAGTGAGGTGATCCTTCTCTAAACAAGAAAATACATGACCACCATGTGGAGGTATTCCCTCACGTAAAGAAATAAAGGTCCAGCAAACCCATTGCACCTTGTGGTTAATTTTGGGCGTTGTCACAAGGACCGGGGGGCCTTTGACAATTTTTTGGTCCACCGACTCTAAAATTGAGTTCCTGAAGCCTCACACCGGTCAGTCCGTTGTTTTTTGGAACATTAAGACCCTCAAAAAAGGATCTTTCCCATCCAAACCACTCGATGGACCGCCCGGACCGATGGACGATGGGGGACGAGCGGCCGACTGACCGACCCCCTACGCACCGCGGAGAGAGCGACCGACCCCCTCTCGACGCGGAGGCGGGTGAAGTCTCGCGGCGAGCGGAGCAGTCTCATCTCGCAAAGAGGCGTGGATGGGTCGCCAGGGGATGGGTCGCCTCGATGAGAGAACGTTGGTGAGTGCATGGGATTTCATGTTTGGGTCTTTCTTTTTTTAAATAGGTGTGTTGGGGCGAACAAACAAGGATTTGGAGGTGTTTTGGTGCAGTCCATGTTTTCTCAAAGGCTGGATTCTTGTCTACATGTTGCAATGTTGGATTGGGTGCCCGTGGAAAGCTGGCTGAAATGGCTGCATCGACTCTGAGGACCACATGTTGGTGTGAGACTGATTAAACTGGCAACAGACTAACAGTACATACTACACAGTATATACAGTATGCAAGTGGTCAGCGGGCTTTCTATGGTAGCTCTGAATGCTCAAGTCGTAGTGCACCGTGAGGACCAACGTATGGCTAAAAAGGTGACGGCTAAAGCGGTCACGTGAACGAACTCAAAAGGGCCTCTTTCTGAACCAAGACTTTCGGACACGCTCTCTTGACGTGCATGTCGACCTATGGCAATTGCATGCCCCGGTCTCCCCCTCATGTCTTTCGAGTGGGGAACACAAAACGAACCACCAGACACCACCGGGGTCAACCAACCGAGGAGTTTTCGAAAGTGGGCATTCCTTGTTGTTTCCGCTTGCGTGCTGATCTCATGTACTCCTCGCTGACAATGCGCCACTTCTGCTGGGATTTATAGTATAGTTCCATTTCCTTAGCTCCCTCCTTAGTCAAAGCATTGCTAAGTTGTGCCTCAGAGTGAACCCAGCGGATTTTAACGTTGTTGTATCTTTGGGCGGACTTTAGGCAAAGCATCTCTATGTCAGTTCTTCTCTCGGCGCCTTTAACGCTGAGCTCTTCTGTTTGTAACTTATCGAAGACGTTGCGGGAGTCGGACACCACACAACCCTCGGTCAAGTTCACGGTGTGATCCACATCAAAAATATTAGGTTGCTCGAACAACTCTCCGTATTGAAACCGGGCGTGGAACAACAAGTCTTCTCCGTTTATGACAGCACTTGCCTCAGCTGCACCTGGACTCCTAGTAACCCTATCAATTTTACTAGCATGCCATGAGACAGGAACGACCGACTCAAATGCTCCTTCCAGAAGTGTCATTGGTGCAATTCCTACAAACAAGCCTTGGGTGCTGCTGCCATCTCTTCTGTTTTGACCGGAGGCATCGGCCCAAACGTACATGCCTACAGGAACGTGTGCAGGAATCTTCTGAATCTTCAGCTTGTGGTCTCTTCGAGACTTAGCTTTTTGAAGAAGTCCATTCACTCGTCCGATTGTTTCAACTGTGCTTGCTGTCACATCTGAAAGGAGCAAGCCAACTTCTGCTGACAGGTGAGGTGCAACTTGCTGTGCATGCCAACTTAAAGCAAAAAGGATGGCACGGAGCTTGGATTTTTCCCACTCCGAGGTTGGCTGATTCTTTTCTCGCCTTCTTGTGGCACATAAATTGATTTCACTCACCTTATCCAAATAAGTTGGTTGAGACAGTTCAAAACCATCCTTTGTGGCTTCGATCTGAACTCCGCACTGTACAAATTTGTTTTCTTCCCAATCAGACCATCTAAATTTCTCTTTGATTTCCCTTTCCAGCTGAACCCATCTTTGGTCTTCTGGTGGGCCGGCAAACAGAAAATCATCGACGTGACCTGCGATCATGCCGGCGGTGGTTTGGCCATTTGGTTTCCACAACCAACAGCAAGGGTCAGCCCAGGATTTCACAAGGCCTTTTTCCTGAAGGTACTCTGAAATGGTTCGATACCATTCCAGCGGAGCATCAACTAATCCATAGCAGCCCCTCTTGACCTTTACGATCTCCCCTTCAGAGAGATTCATGGCATCAGTAATCTCCTTGCATGGGATACAGTACAGGGGTGTAGGATACTCCCTGCCTTGTAGGAAGGCTCCAGTCACGTCCCCCTTCTTCACTTTCCAGCCATGGCGAGCTGCCATGAATAGCAATATCTGTCTGGTTTGCCTTGTCATCACCGGAGTCGTCGTCGCTCTGAACTCATATCCCGGGTCCTGATACCCTTTGAGAATGGCGCGAGCTTTTGCTTTGTAGTTGCCGTCGTCCTTCAGCTTCCATGTAAGCAGCCATCGCATCCCAATTGCCTGATTGGCACTTGGTCGCAACTCGGGTGGGATAGCTTCAAAGGCTTTGGCCGCTAAGAAGTTGGAAACTTCAGATCCCTTGGCTTCTCGGAATTTTTCACGGTCCTGAGGAGAGAGGCGGCTTTCATGTACTTCAATATGACTGCGCTTGATAGCATTCGTGAAGTAGGCCTCAAGGTTCTGGATTGCCGCTTGTATCCCATTCCGAGATGATGGCATGGGGATCTCAATTTCAATGGAAGCTTGATCTTGACTCCAGAAGACCTGCCCTTCGTCATGCTCCCCGAAGAGAGCTGGGTCTACTTGATTCCACCACGCTTGATGGTCCATGCTTCCACCCGCCTCGCCTCGTGAAGACGATGAGGTAGATCCTCCAGGATGCGATGTCAGCAAGGATGTTCGGCTCAGTTTTGGTTGCCCTGTTTCTTCATGAAGGGTGGATTCAACTGAACGCTTATATCGATGCCGTACTTGGGGATCAGGATGGTAATGTTCAACCTCCATGTCGTGTGGGTCATTGTTTTGTCGTTCTGGATTTTGACTTCTTTGCCATTCAGCCACGTCCGGTACCTCCTGAGAGATGTCTTCATACTCATTACCCCCCAGTTCACTCACCACACGTGGAAATGTCCATGGGGCCTCAGGTTCGGGATGGTCTCGAAGGTGTTCCACAAGTTCTTCCCGAAATGTGGCTGGTCGTAGTTGTTCAGTGCAGCACTTCACCAGGCGACGTCCCCGCACACACCAAATTGATGCTCCTCGATGCAGGTTCCCATGATCGTCTCGCTTGGTTTCTGTACACAAAATCCGTGCTGGCCCCAAAAACATTCCATTTTTCCCAACTCCCTTGTTCTTCACTTGTTTTCTCCAGAAATATACGAGGTCACCTGGTCGGTAATCATACCGAGGTTGACTTCGAGAGTTCATTGCCCGGCCAATGCGTTGGTTGGCCTGCCATTCTGAAAGAGCTTGTTCAGCTTGTTTCATGAGTTGAATACTTTGTTCCATTTCTTCACTCGGATTGTTCAGGAGCTCTGGCGGGCTATCCCCTGTCAGGCTGCCCACAAATCGCCCCGTTTCATCCGGAGCTTTGCCTAGGATGTGTTGAACTGGTGCAAAACCACGGATCATCTCACGATGATTGAAGCCCCTGGTGGCCTCTGACAGGCAGGCTTCGGCTGACAAGTCGGGGTTTGACTGACTCAACTTAGTCATGACTTCCTTGAGCCCTCTCACCGCTTGTTCGCATGTTCCCAATTGCCAGTGCGCTTCGCCAGCTATCACGTCCAAAAAAATGCTGTTTTCATCACAAAACCTTTCCAACTCATGACTACGAAAAGCTCCTGCCGGATCGACTCTCAAGGTCTGTGGTGCTCCAAAGTACTGGATCCATCGTTCTCTAAGGAAGTTGAGGAAAATGGCTGCGGACATAGTTTGATGATTGCCATGCTTGGTGATTTGTGAGATCCGGAACCTACTGCCTTCGTCGATTGCCACAACGAACTCACTCTCCTCATTGGTGTGAGGATTTGTCCATTTCCCCCCATCGGCACTCACAGTCGCCAATTTTGGTGGAAGAGGTTCCAACGAAGACAAATGACGGTGATTCACTTTTTGGGATTCTTTGCACATGGGACATTGAAAATTCCTAGCCAATTCCAAAACATGTTCAGGAGCCCCTCGATGTTCCAGGGCACGAATCATGTGACGTGTGCTGCCGTGACCTGTAGAAGCGTGTAGCAAATAGAGTTTTTTCTTAATCTGTTCCGTTTGTTGTTCATGTTCCAAATGTCGACTCACAAACGCTTCCGACAGTTTCCCTTGGCAACCCTCACTTGTGACACGCGTGCTGTTTGTTTGTGCGCCCATTTGACACGTTCCACATGGTATCCTAGCATCGTGCTTTTTAATCTGTTCACACACACAATGATGACCTTCGTTGAAACCTGGTGGACAAGTCGTCTGTCCTTGCAACTCATCCTGCAGAGTTTCGTGAGTGTGCTCAATAAGAAGTGCCTGGCTGACCCTGTTGGCGAACTCCTGAGTGTAGTACGCCGTCCTACCTGCCTGACCTCCCTCACACCTACCATGTTGGTAACCTTTGGGGCAATGACACGGGAGGTTTAGGTTTTCAGCCATCTTCTTGTGGGTGGACATGACTTTCCATGCCTTCGACATCAATGATTGTGTGTTTGTGCATCTCATGTTCACTCGGCATCCGTGAACGACCGCGAAAAACGAAACAAGTCGCTTGTACATGTTTTGCATGAGAGGAAGCCTCCAAGCCTGACATCTTTGGGACCATTCCCAAGAAACGTGTGTCCCCCTTTGGTGACAAAAATAAAAGATGCTAGCGGCCCCCACATATTGTCTCAAAGCGTTTTGGCGTTTTTCCTCGAAGTCCTTCTGCTGCTGTGCCGTTCGCTGGTTTATAGCTTGTAACGGAGAGTAGGGTCCACAAATGGGACTGATCCAAACATGTTGAGGATTGAACTGAACAATTTGATCCAAGATATGTTTCACACCGAGCGCGGTGCTCAAGTCTCCTCCGTTCCAATGGGAGCAGCGAATAGCTGCACCCTCGTACCCAGCTTGGCGTCGGACCGTTTCCGACAGAATACTATTGGGAGCACATGCAACTTCCAACAAAACAGTAGGTCTTTGCAAAAGGTCTTGAAAAGCTTGAGGACCTATGTTCTTAGACGTTTGTTCCAAAAAAATGACTCATGGACGTGGAAACATGTGCAATGCCCTCAGTGCTCTCAGAATCTAGGCTTCGGCGCTCTCCTGGGCTTCGGAGACCAGGGTGTAGGACATCTCGTCGTCCCCTTTCTCCTTTTTCTTGCGAGGGCGCTCCTCCTTGAGGGTTTCCACCTCCTCCTTGAGGGCTGTGAGTGTCTCCATCATTTTCACCATCACCGCCTTGGTGCTGGCCTCGGGCTCTGAGGTTGATGACGTCGCTTTGCCCGGAGACGGAATTGGATAGCCCCCCTTTTTGGTTCTTGGTGGAAGCCTTCTCTGGAGGTGGTGTCAGCTTGGTCTTCACTGGTAGCTGAAGTTCTTGGCGGACATCTCGCTGGGCCACATACCAATGGGCAAATCGGCTCAGGCGTGGATGGCAGGAGCCCTCCATGGCCGTCTGGTGGGCCCACTCCCCGTAGGACGGGTGCTCGTCCATCACCTCCTGGTAGGACAGTTGAGAATGCATCCCAAATCCCATTGGATCCTGGCCGCTGGGCTCTGAGATGGCATAGATCTTCTCGACTGCTTTCTTTTCCAGTTGAGGCCTGGTTTCCGTTCCCTCCAGAGGCAGCTGGAGCGTGCTCTGACAGAACTGAATCAGATCGGCCTTCTTCTTGCTGTGTTTGTTGAGTTCCACCATCCAGCCCTGATGACTGGTGCGAATCTTCCCCTTGGTACGAGTGATGCCCTGTTCCTCCTCCAACTCCAGGAGCCTCACCCGAAGTTCTGTGTTGGTCCATTTGCTCGGTGGCTCTTCCCCAAGAGCTCGAATTGCCTCCACCAGGTCGGCTTTCTTCATGTTGGAGATCCCTGCCATGGTCTAAGGTTCGCACGGATCTAAGGTTCGCACTGGGACCTGATAGAGGGCCTGGTCCTTGATCTGTGGCTGCTGCTGCGCTGCCGAAAATGTTGGTGTGAAGTGATTTCCGTTTTGGTTTTCCCCTCCAAGTTCAAACCACCACCACCACAATCCCCAAAATCTTTCCCCAAACTCATGTTACATGAGAGAGACCCCGTTGCCTGATCTACGGTAGAGACCTTCCTTTCTTCGCCAGGCGTTTCGAAAGGAAGGAGTTGTCCCTACTCGGAGCAGTAGGCTTTCAAACTTGGGATGGGCTGTACACTTGGCAGGGCATCTTTGTACAAATCATCAGTTAAAGACAGAAGCTGATGGCCTGCCTGTGAACGTTCCATCGTGATGACCTTTTGATCATCCAAGGCCCGAAAAACGACCAGGTCGTGCTCAAAATCAATCACAGCCTTCAACCGTCTCAGGGTGTCGATCGACAGCAGGACTGGTCCTTCACCCTTGTCTAAGGTGTGGATGGTGAGAAGCCCATCCTTGTTGTTGGCGGAGATGCGCATCTTAGTGGTGCTCAGGCACCTGTCTCGGCTGCTGTTCCCGAAGCCGAAGGTGGGTTTATTCGAGGTGTCCACCTCCATGACCCCACCATGGTTGTGTTTCCGGAGATTTTCACTCACTAGGGCCTCGAGGGCATGGACAGATCCGAGTGTTTTCGTGGCTCCTCCGTCCACGATGCCATAGCCTTCACGAATGGCTTGTTCGGTGCTTTTCACTTGTCGTCCTCGCTGGTCAGCCAACATGGCCTCTTCAGCAAACATCGTGACGGTCGTCAGGTCCTCTTTTGCGAAGCACACAAAAGGTGCCTCTTCTGTGGCCACATGACTTTGTTCACTTCTTGAAGGAGCTGATCGATCTGGACATTGTGCGATCTTGTGCGGGCCCCCGCACCTAAAACACTTGATGCCAGCTCTTCCTCCCCCATCACCAGTGAACTTGGCCTTCTCGGTGCTCACCTTGTAGTATTGGCGGCTCATTTTTACCTGATGTTGCTTGGCTCTGGCTTCTTTCAAGGTTCGTCTAGCCTGTTGTAAGGCTGCCATTGCTTCTTCTTCCGCTTCAACTGCAGAAGCCATGAGAACGATACCTTCCTCGTTCATTCCTTCATTGGCCAATGAGGCTGAGGTCCATCCTTCGTGTCCTTCGGTGTCTTCTCCACCGGATCCTTCATCTTGATTCCAGAAAATGGAGTGCTTGTGGGCTTGATCTCGCTTGATGAGTTCGTCTTCAGGCCAGTGACCCCCAAATCTTGTGCAATGCGGATGGTGCTGAAGTCTGAGCCCACAGCCGTCTGGATCAAGTTCCGTTCATGGCTGTCTAATCCTGCGTCATGCAGGAGGTACCAGCCTTGGAGGTAATCTGGCAAGAGCTCTGTGGTCTGCTGGGTCCATGGTTCATCTTCTTCATATGGTTGGGCTGTCCTCCATGAGTTGGACCAAGCGTCGGATGACTGATGCCATCCATAGTTCCTCCATGGGTCAAAGCCACCCTCGGAGGCATCATAGGTGATCGGTGCTTGGTTCTGGTTGTTGCTCAGCGTTGTCAGCCTGTGAGGCCGAGGGTGCCGAGGCGGTCCCACCTGGAATGCCGGGCTTGGTGCCATGTGTATGCTTCTGCTGGTGTGTTGCTGCCCCGGTGTGACCTGGTCTGGTTGGTCACTCGATGGTCCTGATGGACTCGGGACAGGGCTTGCTTGGCTCGGTTGTATAGTTCGCTTTTCCGAACTATGTAGGAGTTCATGGTCTCTCCTTTGTGGCGTCTGCTTTGTCGGAAGTACTTGGTCAGGTACTCCGACAGTTCTGGCAATTGAGGTCGTCCCAAGCTGGAACGAAGGTGCCGTAGAAGATGTTCGACACCACCTGCATAGGAGAGCCAATCATGGCGTTTGCCCACCACATACTTCCGTGCTATGCCAGACAGTTCACCTGAAGGCGAGGACCACATAGGTATCTCTTGTGAATGGGAATCCCTTGTTCCCATTGGAGTGCCATCTCTTCATACTCCTGAAAGGAGCGTGAGTCTCCGTCCCACTGCGGGACGCCATCTTTTGAGCGGTTGATCCCTTCTCCCATGACCACTTCGATCAAACTCGGCCTGGCGGAGTCTGACTGATCTCTTTTCTCTCAAGCCCCGTAGGGCTCCGCTACCATGCAAGTGGTCAGCGGGCTTTCTATGGTAGCTCTGAATGCTCAAGTCGTAGTGCACCGTGAGGACCAACGTATGGCTAAAAAGGTGACGGCTAAAGCGGTCACGTGAACGAACTCAAAAGGGCCTCTTTCTGAACCAAGACTTTCGGACACGCTCTCTTGACGTGCATGTCGACCTATGGCAATTGCACAGTATATATTATGTATAACATATATATATATATACATATACTGTACTACTAAAAATAATACTGTGTACTTGTAGACATATTAGAACTAAGTGGGAAGAGAGCAAGGCCCCTGTTGGTGGAGGTCGTTCTTTAGGCAGGCCATGGTTGCCGTTTGACCGGAGGAATCGCTGGAAGGACGGACATGGACATGGACGTGCTCGATGGACCGTGCTGCTCGATGGACGTTGCTGCGGATGAGGATGGACGTGGACTTTCTGCTGGATGTGCTGCAGTTGCGGCTGAAGGACTTCGAGGATCCTTCCAGCAGCTTCGAGGATCACGCGCTTTTATGTGAAGTGATTTTCGGACTCCCAGATTTCTCCGAAGAGCTTCTGAGGTGAGGGATTTTCGTTAACGGTTCTTCCTGGAAGGTGAAACGGCATGATATGGGTGTACTTCAGAGAAGCTGCACGATGATTAGTCAACTGAATTGACACGGGGAGGATGAATTGGAGGGCCAAAGACACCCTTTTGCTAGACTCTCTTCTGCCTTTGATGTGCTTTGGCGCTCGTTCGATGGCCTGAGGTTCTCGGGATTTGCTGGTGCACACTGTGGAGTGGGCAAAGAGAATGCATAGCGAACATCGGGCCGTGGTATGAGGCCCCTGAAAAAGGGAGAAATGCAAGAACCGCATCGCTACTAGGAGCAAGGACACTACGATCGGAGCGATCGGACGCTACGATCGGGGCGATCGGTGGCCTTATCACCATTCTTGGAGAATTGGACCGTGACAATTCAAAATCATGCACAAACCCACGAGCTAGTTGACGTTGGTCATCATAATAGGGCTGGGCTATTGCTTGGACTTACTGGTTTAGGTGCACCCTATAGTCAGTTGGGATAGAAGAAACACCTCCAACGACTCATTTTGGTGTGGCGAAATGCTGGCGGCCAAGCCACACAGCTTGGTCGCTTTGCCGGTTTGCTTTGGTCGTTTGGGGTCTCGTCTTCCATTTCATGGTGTGTTTGCCACATCCTGGAGGCCGCTTTTCCATCAACCCGTCGACGGAACTTGGACCTGTCGAATTGATCCACAGGGTCCGTCGGGTGAGGAGGTTAGGAATTCACCAGTCCCCAAGCGAAACCAGGCCAAAAGCAACGTCTGCCCCACAAGAAACACAGCCCCCCGGTTCAACTTGTCTGCTCATTGTTGGGGTGTACTGTACATCCACACCTATATATTGGGCCCTGCCCCCCCCACAGTAACAGTCGTAAAGGGTCAGGGCCCTTAAACCATACCCCCAAAAACAATAATCATATTCAAAGTCATTAAAGGAAATTGGATTGTAATTTCTGGTCTAGGAAACGCAAAATGATTGGAGTAGTGGGCGGGTTAACTCAAAAGAACACAAATCTGAACATAATTGCAAACCAACAACAACCAGTATCATCCCAATCCCTTCACTAATTTGTCAATCTCAAGTGGCAATTCAAATTATGATATGATGGCTCAAGACTGGAACGGTAGCAGGTGGCCAGGATTGCGTGCTCTCACAGCCAAAGGAAAGAGGAAAGAAAGAAAGGAAGGGAGATTGTGATTACACTGGGAGCAGGATGAGAGCCAAGTCCAAATTGGCTCTGGCTCCCTGCTCCACCCCTGGCTTCCGGCTCCCCACCCATCGCTCCCGGCTCCTCACCTTGTCGCTCCCGGCTCCCCACCTCGTCGCTCCCGGCTCCCCACTCCAAATTTTCAAAAAAATTGTCCAAATCAGCGTGTTTTTTTGTGCTTTTCTTTGTGCTCTTTTTTGTGCTTTTTCCGCCCTGGACCACAAGTCATACCACAAAAAAAAGCACAAAATAAAGCACAAATCATACCACAAAAAAAACACAAAAACAGCACAAATCATATCACAAAAAAAACACCAAAAAAATCACAAATCATACCACAAAAAAAACACAAAACAATCACAAATCATACCACAAAAAAAAGCACAAAAAAACACAAATCATATCACAACAAAACACAAAAAATCACAAATCATACCACAAAAAAAGCAAAAAACACAATCATACCACAAAAAAAACACAAAAAAACACAAGTCATACCACAAAAAAAAGCACAAAAAAACACAAATCATATCACAAAAACACACACAAAAAAAACCACAAGTCATACCACAAGTCATACCACAAAAAAGAACACAAAAAAACCACAAAAAACAACAAAAAACACAAGTCATACCACAAAAAAACACAAAAAAGATACACAAATCAGACCAAAAAAACACAAAAACATCCACTAAGTTGTGGTGGGTTTTGTGCATTTTTTTGTGTTTTTTTTTGTGTTTTTTGTTTTTTAAAGTAGAGGGCCTCCAGTTTTCTTTTGTTTTAAAGGGCAGCCCGCGCCCCCCGGGCCTGGAACACCGGGGCCGCCCACAGTTCCGGCGGCCTGCTCGGCCTCTGCCTCCCCTTCTACCCGGCCTGCCAGAGCCCAGCTCTGCCCAGCTCATTTTGTCTGGCAGCAGAATCCCCAAGCCTTTTTGACTGGATCGATATTGTCGATCATTTCTTCACTGCTTGCGCTCAGATGAAAAAAAACATCGGGTTGACTTGAGGGTTTTGTAGCACATGATTAATGTCGCCAGCGTTAGAAGGGCAAATGAAAGTCATCCTAATGCCAACTATTGCTAAATTGCTGTGTTTTTTTGTGGTATGATTTGTGGTCACTGTTACTGTGCCGGGGCAAAGCCCAACCTATATAAGTGAATCTTTTGCAGTCACTCAAGCGACACGGTCTGATATACCACCCCAGTGACATTTCTGGACAGTTGGCATTCACGAGGCCCAGAGAGTCCTGTGAACACGACAGGATGCCGACGCACGACGCACTGATCCGACGCACAGGTGATCAGCCAAAGCACCAATCGCTGACCCTTCGGACCGATTTAGGTCTGTCGATCGATCCGTTCGCTCTTTCGCAGATCGCAGAAAGATGGAGAGATTGGTAAGACTGGGTCTTGCGCCACTGCAAGACCCACCGCTTGTGGCGATACACCAAGCAGTAGTCTGCAAGTCTGCAAGTAGATAACACAGGGACAAGCAGACGTTTGATCATTTCCCGAGAAACATTTCCATATATATTTATATAATATAGATATTATATATATATATAGCTCACGAACCAGGTAATTCTTGGTGTTGGGTTGTCACTTAGGCTCCCCCCAGTTTGGATCAGCCTGGAGGTTGCCTCTTGGCTTTCACCGCCAGATGTTCAAGGACGTTTTGACCAATTTGAGTTGCCCTAAGACTTCGGGCCCTCAAAAGGAAAGGGTTTGGTTCGGGTCCGGACCCCGAAGAGGTTGGGTCCAGTTGGCCGACTCCACTGGGGTCAATAAAGGCAAGATGGAGGGTGAGCAGTACCAATCTAGCGGCCAACGAGAGGCAGTTTTTCTAGGTGACCTATGATTTTCCATGATTAAAGGCTAAATCTATGGCAAAACCCATCAGTTCTGGAGATCCCCCCAGGGTCAGGTCAGTCGAACTTGAGCGGTCGAGGAACCCAGTTCTTTCTCTTCTTTCTTCCTCATTCCACTTATGAATCTCGCGATCTGCGGGGGCTTTATTACTTCATCCGCATGCCAACGTATGCCCATCCCTCTGGCCACTTTTGGCCCATGCGTTGACGATTTCGCGTCGCCCCCAGTCGACCGGTGCCGTGAGGATCTCATGTAGCATGGAGGTCATGACGAGTGGTTTTCATGAGTCGCGGCCCAAATGCCCAAATGGACATCGTGACCAGTGGGGATTACAACTATCCAACAACAGGGTCACTGGTCTTAGGTCACCCTCAGGTGCTTGGAATCGCAACAAAAAACGCCGATGCTTCGTCAAAGCATTAACGTTCGAGGTCTCTAGCTTTCTTTTGCTTGTCCTTTTAACACCCATGCTCCATGCTTCTGTCTAGCTTTCTAACTGTTTTGGTTGAGCCTGTGGCCAGAATCTAAACAATCAGAAGAGAAGCCATGGAAGGAACCCCTGATGGAACATGTTGGGCTCGAACCATGGGTTGTAGGAGCCTAGGGCTGAGCTGTTCTGCATTGAGGTTCCTTGGAAGTACAACCACGGGATGCAACGCTATTAATCTTAGCATCTTTGTGAACTATACAGGGTGGTGAACTTGTGCACGATGTGAGCTATTCTGGAGCCTTTCGACCCACAGTTCTACAGACGGGTCATTCGAGTGGGTCCCTACTAACGTGATCAACGCAGGGCCAAGGCGAGGTCCCTTTTTGACGATGGCGGCTTCCTTGTCCCTCGGGCCAAGCCCAGGGGTTTTCTGTTGACGCCTCGTTGGCTGGGGCATGTTCCGTTGGGTCTTAGACTGTGGTGACGGGAGCCGATTTCGTGGGTTATGGAGTTACTGATGGCAATGAATTGAAGATAGGGAAAGTGTTGCAGTTTAACACGCTAAGAGCTTTTGGCTCAGCGCAGTTGTCCACTGCAAATTCCTTCTATGGCCATAGGTTGAGAATGACGAAATGACCATTCTTCCTTGGATGTAACATGTCTTGAACAAGACCGCAAAAGTCAGCCATCAAAGCACCAAGTGGAGCTAGTGTATTATCTCTTTTTGTCTCTATGATCGATGCTTTCATTTTACCAAGGATGAGCCCAGGGAAGACGCCAATCAAACTGATGTGGGTCAACAAGAAGCCCAAGAAAAAGCTAAAGGTCTTTGTTTGTCTGACGTCTGACAATTTGTCCTCATAAAGGATCCATTGGTACTGACCGGCACCTCAGTTACAGTTGCGCAAGCTTGTTGGTGCCGCCCTTTGAAAGGGCTGCAAGAAGGTGACTGTTGCGAGAACGGCCAGTAAGGATTATCTCCAGTGACACAGGTCAATCATAGGTAGGATGGCAACCGCAGTAGAGCTGGATCCCTGAATTTACTCGTGGTCCCTACTATATAAGGTAAACATCAGCACTTGCTTCCGGAAGTGATGATGAGATACCCGAAGAGACAAGGGTTCCAAGGTCCTCAGGTCCTCACCACCTGAGATGTCCGGACCATGCACCCCCAGGACCACTAGTTTGTCATTCCATACGTCTTCGTCCACAGTACTAGCACAGTCTAAAGAGTGAAAAGCACAGTTACTAGGCTGGGGGAATGATCCACGTGTTGCCTCTCTATCGAATCGGCACATCCAACTGTTTCCAAGACTACAAGTAGCACCAGGCCCTCACCTTTCCTGCGGTGCCGATCTCAACGGCCGCCTCCCTCCCGCCGTGCCGCTGAGCACCAGCCGCGCGGTTTCGCCGTACGTTTTGGGCCGTGAGTGTCCGTGGCAGCTTGAGGAAAAGGGAACAAAGGGGCGACTCCATCGGATTTGGACGTGGCGTTGGTCCTTGGCGTTGGTCTCCAATCATGACTCATTTTGCAACGTTTTACTCTTTGGTAGTGGTGGGTCATGACCTTGAGGTGGGGTAAGTTCTGAGTCAAAACGGAGGTTCTGAGCTGCCATTTTTTGGGTGTGTCACCTAAAGCGCTGCGTTTTTAGGTGGGGGGGATCGACATGTCGGCGATGTCCGTGGGAAACGAGGGGCTTTCTTCCATCTCTGGGAAGTTTGGAAGCTCGCAGATGTCAATTGTTCGATTTTCAGCGAGACCCTCATCATGACAGTCGGTTTGCACGATCGTCCAAGTGGCCGGTGCCTGGGCTTCGCTGCGGAGAGCGGATCCGAATCGCTGCAGCGTTTGGTTTAAGGTTTGCGATCTAACGTGCACCATCCATGGGCAAAGCGCCAAAAGCTGCAGCCACCTGTGGCCGGTCACATGTGGCCGGGATTTCACGAAGATGTAGGGATCCACTGGGAATCCGTCCTGCTTGGAGAAGAGGAGGGACCTGCTTGTGGGACTGCGTTTTTAAGCACTTTGAGCTACTGTATGCATCTTTAAATGCTACTTTTTTTTCTATTTCAGGATTTGATCGATGTTGCTTCTCAAAGCTTCAGTACATTGGACTGGAACTGTCCCCCAAACTACTGCTTATCTGGAAAGGAACAAGAGACCTTTAGAAGTCCATGGTTGCAAGGTCCTCTACTCCACTGAACCCAATGGTGCCACCGGTGCCCACCTTCCATCTATACTCACTGAACAAACACCTCAACAAACACCCACCCTAAGAATCCAAACAGGCCTAATAGCAGGTGTCGGGACCCTGAAGACTCAAAACCCTTCCCATTGGTTCAGGCCCGGATTCTTAGGGTTACCGGCGAGTTCTGCGGCAGACCGCACGGGCGCTGCGTGACCGGTTCGGTGCCTTTTTTCTGCGCGGCGATGCCATGTTCGCCAGGTCGGAGCTGGGGGGTTCGAAGGTGCCATTCCTGTCCGACCCAGTGGTGAGTTACAAAGTCCAAATGTCTAAGCCGCTTTTTCAAGCGGCTTAGCCAACACCCTCCCGCTGACCGGGCTGCTATTTGCTGCTGATTCCCTGGTCTTCCTGGGGATTCGGAACGTGGTTCATGTCCCCCATCTCCCGAGGCACCGTCCATGCGTATCTTTGTTGGGGGCACCGCCGGGCACCGCCTTTTGTGGTCTTTTTCAGGTTCACCCAGGTGCCCATGCTGCCAGCGGGTTTCTTTTTGGAGGATAGGCGTTCAATTTGAGTCTTCCATTTTGGATTTTGGGAAAATGGTCAAAGAGTCAAACAGACCAAGAAACGCAGTGCTACGCTAAAGCATCCTCAATGCATGGTGGCGTCCAACGCACTCACAACTTCCTCTCTTCATCCAAAAAATTGCCAACGGAAAACCCAGAGTTTTTCGTTTTCGTGGCCACAGGTCGCGATGGCCGCCGTGGCCCTCCATTGCCTCCATCGCGTGGACCCAGCTGATTGGCTGGCTCAGGTGAAGCAGTTGGGTGAAGAACAAACGAAGGAGACGGTTTTTTAGGATCGCTCGCGCGATGGGGTTTTCGGGAACTTCGGTTCATGCCGTGCCGGCCATGCCGTGGGCGGTGTTGGGTTCGATGCTTTTTCAGGCTAAGGGATGGACATGGCTCAACAGCATGGATTCACACAAGCCTCAAAGGTTTTATGGGGAGGAAACAAGTGGGAGCAACAGGCTCCGACCGAGAACCGGCCGGCCATGTCTCAATTTGAAAAACACGAGCTGATAAGGAGTCGCTTCTCGACCCACATCCCATGACGTGCTTCTGCGGGAAGCATGAACGTCCATTTGGGTACGTGTGTGTATTGATTTGGCAGGGTGGCTCCACATCTAACCAAGCGAGGAAACTTGCCAAATCTGTTGAATGACCACTGGTGATCCTGGAGCAACTAGTAATTACTAGTGTTGGTCGTGGTATTATATAAACATAAAATATAATGGTAGTGGTAGTGGTGAGTCGTGGTAGTAGTGGTAGTGCTAGTGCTAGTGCTAGTGGTACTAGTGGTGGTAGTGGTGAGTGGTGGTAGTCAGATCCTTCAGCAGTGCCCACGAGCAGATCCGCCGAACGGTGACCGCAGGCCTCTGAGGCATGGTCGACCCTTGGCCCAGGCAGGGCGCAGGACCGCAGGGTGCCCGGATTGGATGGGATGCGCCTCCTGCCCAGACACAAGTCATGGGAGAAACACAGTAGTGACCTGTAGTGATGGATGGAGGTAGTGACCTGTGATGAATCTGGCAGGATGGAGGGACTGCGCTTGAATAACTTGAGCAGCGGGGCTGGTGGGGGTTCATATACTGTATTTAAGAGTTAGCAGGTACATGGAGGCCGTGGGAGAAAGCCAGAGAGAAAAACAGGTTTGCCTGTGGAGAGGTTTCCAGACTCCCCTAGCAAAGTAATTACCTCACTCGTTCTGTTTTGGGTCCTTGATACTTCCAACAGCCCAGACATATATATATATCTATAATATGTACAAATATATGGGGACTAGAAGGACATGGACTTCCTCCAGATGTTCTTTTTCCAAGGATCAGTTTCTGATGCCCATGACTGAATTAATTCATTTTGTGCACACACGAAGCAAACGATGGAGCCCCCCCCCTCCAATTGACTCCTTCACCCGATCCATCCAAATTGCATCTTTGATCCCTTTGGCAACACCAATCAATTGCTTTTCCGGAATGGCAACCGCTCCCATGGCGATGGTCGCATGCGGTCCATGGCTGCGGGTGTTCGGATGTGGAGCTCGGTCTCCACACCCCAAACACACCGACCGCTTCTCCGACCGCAGACCACACCGTCCACCCCGGAGCGGGGGTTTTCGGCGGTAGACACCGCCCCGTGGCACGAGGCCCCCAAGCCGAGGCCGAGTGGTTGGAGGGCTTTCCCAAACGCCAACGGGTGGTTCGTGGGTTGATGTGATCAGGGCTCTTGGCAGTTAAGAAAGTAAAATGGTGTGTCATTAGAATCATTAGAAGCAAAAAGCTTATATATGTTTGATTTCGGTGGTCCGCACCGGGATCGATCCTCGCTCCTGATCCATGGGAGGTGGTGCACCTCCCTTGGGGCTTTGTTTTTGAGTGAAGACAAAGGATTTGAGGCTCTTGGCAGAGCTTGCCACACATCCTGAGACAGGTTTCAATGGATTTCACTCACTATAGCAGGCGTTTTCTAGGACAGTTCTATCCCGCATGGTCCTGTGGCCAGCAACAAATTGGGCACCAGAAGGAAGAACATGGAGTTCAGAGACTTGAACTGAGCAACTTCATTTGGGTGTGTATGGGCTCCAACTATCTCCTGAGAAGGTGGTTGGGGTGGTTTGGGGGTCTAACTACAAGGTGGTTGGAGCCCCAGGATCAAATAGGGAAACCATCCCAGGCAACGACCCTTGGGAAGGTTCGGAAACTGGCTGTGTGGACGGCAGACATGAGCAGAATTGGGTATCATTTAAATGACTACTGCAGGTCTTTGGGAACATGGCAAATACCTTGGGTTTGGCAAGTTGGCAGGTCAAAATTGAGTTGTCCGGCAAGCTTTTGGCTCGGATCTCGTGGTGTCCCAAGTGAGAATTCTGGCACCAAAACCGCTGTGCTGTATATAGGAGCTAGCAAGAGTGTAGTACGCTCCGCTGCTGGCTCCAGATGCGTTCCACCAAAGCATCATTCGTTTGTGGGTGAAACTCCCCTCCTGTGCGGTTCCTTGTATGCGAACATGCGAACCCCGCCAGACACTCGCAGGTTGGTCGGCCAGCTACTTGCCGGCTGGGGAGGCAGGGACATACGGAAAGAAGACATTTTGCTGGCCACCTGAGATTAAGGTTCAGTCTCTTCTGTGGCTGAAGATGCTTAATTGGTTCCTGCAAAAAATGCGATGTCGCACATTCCACAAAGCGACTGCAAAGTGACCTGACCTTTTTATTTGGACACGATACTTAGCTCGCTTGAGGATCGGTCTGTGTTCCTCCTACCTTGATCTAGTGTATTCTAGTGCTCTAATTACTTTGCTAGAATTGTTATGAATTGTTAAGTTCCGTTCCACAGTGCATTGGAAGATGGATAAGATGGTTGCATCAAGTTTCCAGGAAGGGGGCACCTTTACTTTGGACCTCTGGATATCTCTATATTTCTGGATCGTGCCTCGAGGTTTGATACGATTCATGTCTATATCATATGGGTGTGCATGGCCGTGAAACCTTCTTAACCTTTACATAGACGCGACCAACCAACCAACCAACCAACCAACCAACCAACCAACCAACCAACCAACCAACCAATACTTTTGGGGGATTGGCTTGGCTAGGTTTGGTTGGTTGGTTGGTTATAAGTTCTTTTCCAACCTTCGCTGATCTCGCTTTCGAACGAAGCGACCGTCTTCCCTTTGAGGCGTCGCCCTGGCGGGTCGGGTGCCGTTGACCGCCAAGGAGGCCGGGACTCGCTGGTCGGCAAAGACTGGGGCGGGGTAGCGATGCCAGGTTCGCCCCGTTCGATGCCGCGTCCGAATGCTCCGAACGTAAGGCCAGGAGCCCCGAAGGAGCCCTAGGTTCGTAGCTTCTTGTTTTGTGCAGTTTTTCTTCTTTTCGAAGATTTTCCTGAATTCATCATGTGACGTGGATGGTGGTGCACCTGTTTGGTCTTCGGAAAATGTCAGCCGAACTCGTGGCCATGCATCCATGTAGCCATGATTGTTTCAGCCAGTGGATTATGAGAGATGAGCCGCTTGCGTCGTTCTGGGGGTGTCTTTTTACAGTTTCTTTTTTCCACCCGTTTTTTCGGGGACGAACCGAACATCCAAGTGGTTTGAGTGTCGGCCAGGCTGTTGGGCTGTTGGTGAACGGTGGTTGGGCCGATACCAGTTTTAATTGCGCTCTTGCTTGGGGTTCGATCGTGTATCAGCTGTTGATCTCCAAGAAGGTATCGGTAAGATCCGGCAAGAGTTTCTCTGAAGGTTTATCAGATCACGTATATCATTGCAGACACTATCAAGTTCATTTCAGTGGGGCCGCAACATATTATCTACCCAAGTTAGACTAGTTGGATACACTTGGAGCACACATGTAAAAAAAACACATACTGTTTTACAATGCCCAGTGAGAATCCAACACAACATTACCTTTTTCAGTTAGTAGCGCAGTGTTGTTCTTTCTTGGGAAAGGAAACACTGCAGGGGAAGGCTGGGGAATCCCTGTGTTCTGCAATTGTGGAATTGCTGATCAGGCCCTGTTGGTAGCCATGAACTCAGGCGTTTCCCTGTTTGGGTTTAAACTAAGAGAACGCACTCACCAAGACATACTGTTTAGGCCCATTTGACACCCTCAACTTGAAAAAAGCACATCCTCTTGTGACTCTTCAGTGGAATAGACACTGATATTGAGTTCTTGTGGACGGCAGACCCCTGTACCCGCCTGTGTGCACTTGCCAATACGGCCGGAGGCCTCGCTCTACGAGGTGCTGGGTGTGGAGCGGAATGCCAGCGAACAAGAGATCAAGAAGGCCGAAACAACAAAACACCTTTCCGCCGCCGGGTGGAGTGTGCCCGGGTTTGCTAGCACTGGTAGTGGGCGTAGTGGTGAAGACTGTTGGGAGGTGGACTCGAGGTGGAGTATGTTGAACTGTTGGGAGTGGTTGTCAGTTCCTGGGAATGTGAAGTCTATCAAGTTGCAGTCCTGGCATGTCGCTGATGCGAGAACTCGGGATGTACAACTGGTGAAGAATGCCGATTCATGAATCAACCCCTTGTTCATATATGAAACCTAATCTGAACAGGACTCCCCAAAAGGTCGCCAATCACCATGGCCGCAGGGTGTTCTGAAACTCTCATTGAGCAAGTTGAGCACCAAAAAGGGACACCAAACCCGACACCACGCCGCACCGGTTCTGCACCGGTCGGATCGCCGTTTCTGCACCGGTACCCGCCGCGCGGAGCGGTGAGGCGTACAAGCGAGCGGCTGTGAAGTTCCATCCGGACAAGGCGGTGGTTTTCTTATGGTGTCCGCGGCAGGTCGATGGAAGAAGAACGAGGGACGTTGGTAGAGATGGTGCTGGCTTTTTGGGAGGGGTGAGCCAAGGATTCAACAGAGAGGGGAGGACATGACAGAAAAGGTGATTGGGATATGTTGGGCCAAGCATGAAGACAACAACAGGACGGAGGATATTAGTTCTATTGTTTCTTGGGTTTTCCTAGAGGTCCAAAGACCAAGTAAAACCTGGCCCTTTACCTGAGTAGTGTTTTTGATTGTTTTTTGTCTGACCAACTCCAGTAAATGAGGTCTTTGACCTGTAGGGTTTAGTTTTTGGTCCATCAATGTTTCTAGCTTAGCTTTTGCAGCCAGAACTGTAGCCAACAATGTAGTAACTGAATGCTGGGCGAGATTCCTGTGTGTGAGATTCAAAAGGCCTGGTTAACCAGAGAAGAGAATCCAATGTTGGGACTTTGATTTTATCACAAGGCTTTGCCGAGGAAGGAGTGACTGTGATATCAGGGTCAGATGAATCCCTGTTCACAAGGAGTGGGAGCAAAACCGCCCCCCCCCTCGAAATCGCTTTTGCGTGGCGTCCAGACCGCTCCCCCTCGAAATCGGATGATTGCACCCTTATCTGACAGCACAGGATCTGGCCTGGTGAGTTTTTGCTCGAATATTCGTCTTCAGCTCCCCGAGAGCGCAGTTGCTTCGTCCAAACACTCTCGTTGCCGGTGGATGGTGGGCTTTGCACTGGCGGAGCTGGCAACCCCGAGGCAGCCAGAGATGATTGGACAAGGTCTCTTGGCCACCGGAGATGTCATTTTGGTTGAGCCAAACGGAGTGTTGCTCTTCAAAAGGTGGGACAAATCTTCTTAAGTTGAGTATTACCCTGTAACATTCTGAATCATTTCGACATATATTCCGCGATTTGGAATTTTGGACCACTGAAGTCAGACTCTAGAAACAATACCCTAGGAGTCCAGTTCGACGACTCTATTTGGCACCGAAGTCTTCAGGATCTTCCTCTTCACTCGGGTCACCTTCCGCTTAGAATTTGGGATGGCTGATATGTAAAGTATCCTTATATGACATCCTTTGGTTCTTGCTTTGCTCAAGGAGATGGCGATTGGCACCCGGAGGACACCGACGACACCGCGTCGTCGGCGCCAAGCGAGTCCTGCTCCCCGCTGGGGAACCCTGGCCGTCGGAGCCCCTTCGTCGTCGCGGGCGGCACGCGGCGCTTGCGGCGCACGGCGGAAGTGGTGGCAGAAGAGATGAGGAGCGCCGGTGTCGATGTGTCCAGGAGCTTGAGCCGTTTGTGCTTTGAAGCATAGGGGTATTTGATGCAGTGATGAGCCCCCCTCAAAAAGACACCTAGAAAAGAAGCAACAACCCATGCACCTTGTTTCTATTTTTTTGGATGTGGCACCAATCAGGTCCTTGGGTCCTTCAAGAAGACCATCCGTTGCACAGATGGGTGATTCCCAGGATTGACGGAGATGCGGAGAGGAATGCACCTAGAGAAAAGCCATGAATTGATTGGTACCCAGATCTTGTTTTGAAGATCAGAAGGGATCTTCAGAGATTTCAAATTGAGAATGGCCGGATGTTCGATTCACTCCTCGCTATGCGCTCTCCCACTGGAGCTCTCCCATCGCCACGGTTCTGGCAGCTTCCGCGCGCCGCCTCCGCGCCTCGAGGATCGGCCGACGCTTGCGCTCCTATCTGCGTGAAGCTTCGATCTCCCGAGGCAAGGCGGTGGAGGCGGTGGTCGCCCTCTTGCGGGCCGGGACGGTGGACCGGGCCCGGTCGAAATCACCGGTACGGTTTTTTCTTCAGGGATTTGATCTTGAAAACGGGGTTGAGTTGATTTCTGGACAGGAGGAAAGATTCCTGTAAGATTGCTCAACTTGGTTTATTCAAGGGTTGATCTGATTCCTGCTTGAGCTGGCGCGCTTTCGATTGAACTGTACATGTAGGAGGGGAATAAGCTATTCACGACAGCCAGCGTCGATAGCATAGGAGTGGAACTTGGGGGATTCCCAAGTCCAAGAAACCCCACGGTGGGAGAGTATGGGAGATTGAAGTGAGACATGTGACCATGATAAGACTCCTGGATTTATAAGTAAGTATACATATATAAGTATATGATATAAACCAGGATTGATCAGAACCAATCGAAACAAACACATTGCGCATACCACCAATCTCCCAGCTACAAACGAGGTATTTAAATGTATTTAAGAATTACGCGTTTGAACTTTTATGTTCGCACCAAAGGAACAGAGGATCTGTGATAATCTTGAATGTTGAGCAGTTAAAACATGTTAAACAAACTTATATGTCCCTGCCTTCCCCCATTCTTTTCATAGAATTAAATATATCATTCATTGGAGAGAGCCTGTTTTCATTTTTTTTAGAAAAGTCAAAAAAGTCAACTTATATAGTAGTCAGTCCCAGCAGTCAAAGTCAAAAAAAGAGTCAAACAAGTCAATTGGCCCGGATCCGACTTTTTTTGATGTTTTTCCGACTTTTACTTGACTTCTTTTTTTGAGTTTTTCGAGTTGTTTTCTAAAACAACTTTTTTTTTGTTTGATTTGTTTCTTTTTCGAGTTGTGATCAATTTTTTGTTTAACAACTTTTTTGACTTGCGATCTATGTTTGACTTTCTTTTTTCATCTGATTTTTTTTGGATTTTTCCATTTGATTTTTTTGTTTTGACTTTTTCATTAGACTTTTTTTGGTACTTTTTTTTTTTTTCGTTTTCTTTTTTTCCCAAACAGTTTACTGTTGGGGTTCTATCTTAGAAAGAAAAGAGCTGGCCACACTCACTGGCCGCGCCCCTGAACTCTGTGGCTGGGCTTCGTGGCTGGGCTCTGTGGCTGGGCTCTGTGGCTGGGCCTTGTCCTCCTCTTGTCCTCCTCTTGGCAGCGCCCCTGAGCTCTGTCAACTCTGTGGCTGGGCTCTGTGGCTGGGCTCTGTGGCTGGGCCTTGTCCTCCTCTTGTCCTCCTCTTGGCCGCGCCCCTGAACTGTTTGGGGCCTATGCTTGTATAATTTAAATCAAGGATTCTGGCCTTACCATATGAAAGAATCTTTTAATCATAGAACCTCATCATTCCCCAAACAGTTTACTGTTGGGGTTCTATCTTAGAAAGAAAAGAGCTGGCCACACTCACTGGCCGCGCCCCTGAACTCTATGGCTGAGCTCTGTGGCTGGACTCTGTGGCTGGGCCTTGTCCTCCTCTTGTCCTCCTCTTGGCCGCGCCCCTGAACTCTGTCAACTCTGTGGCTGGGCTCTGTGGCTGGGCCTTGTCCTCCTCTCTTGGCCGCACCCCTGAACTCTGTCAACTCTGTGGCTGGGCTCTGTGGCCGGGCCTTGTCCTCCTCTTGTCCTCCTCTTGGCCGCGCCCCTGAACTCTGTCAACTCTGTGGCTGGGCCTTGTCCTCCTCTTGTCCTCCTCTTGGCCGCGCCCCTGAACTCTGTCGACTCTGTGGCTGGGCTCTGTGGCTGGGCCTTGTCCTCCTCTTGTCCCAGGCCCTGTCCTCCTCTTGTCCTCTTGGCGCGCCGGGCTCTGTGTCCAGGCCTTGCCCTCCTATTGTCCTTCTCTTGGCCGCGCCCCTGAACTCTGTCAACTCTGCGGGGCTGCGTGGGCTCTGTGGCTGGGGTCTGTGGCTCGCAGACAGAGACAGAGACAGACAGAGACAGAGACAGACAGAGACAGACACAGACAGAGACAGAGAGAGACAGAGACAGAGACAGACAGAGACAGAGACAGACAGAGACAGAGACAGTGACAGACAGAGACAGACAGAGACAGACAGAGACAGACAGAGACAGAC